TTTTTTCCGACTCACTCGACAAAGTACATAGACTGTAAGATCTCTAATCGTCAGGAATTGGGGCAAGATTAAGCGGAATTTCTACCGTCTAGACACTCTACAACCCCAGAGTATGATAGATCAGTTCAAGTACCTGTTATTCCAACACCCTGAGTTTAGTCTTTATAGTAACCCTGAGTAGTTTATATTAGCAGTCAGCACCGTCTTAAACACAAACTACGCAGGAAGTCGATGAATATAAGTGGATGATATAATATTTCAGAAAATGTTGCAAGGAAACATACCAATTAAATTGGATGATCCTTACCCGATCGCCTAATCCAAAGGATGTAAACCTTACAGAGTAACATGAAAATTCATTTGGTGGATGGTTCAGGAGCATCTGGTACTGAACTCGGTAGGGTAGATTACGGTCTGATCCCCCGCATCCAACCATTGAATTAAAAAGGTTGCCACATTACTGTGCCAGAAACCTATAAAGTTTAAAAGGATCATAACCACTAACCGATTGTTCTGCTATGTGCGTATAAAGATAAAGGGCTTAATATGATTGCGCTAGAATGAAAAGGGCAAAACAAGACAAATACTCGAGGTAGGCTATGATAGGACCTGTAACTAGTTTACGTAAAATGGGACTGTCTAGTGTCATTGACGTAGTAATGGAGCATGAATCAAGCCATCAATTTTCTGACAAAAACACAACGCAACTATATATTATTTGATCCGAGTCATGACCATGTTTAGAAAAACATCGTACTTAGCATTTGCTTGAGGACAAGCAAAGTTTAAGTATGGGGGAGTTTGATGACACACAAATATGTGATATTTCTGGCTTGATATACACCAAATATTTCTCATACTTTAGTTTAAATTAAATTATTTTATAAGTATTATGCAGGTATTTTTCTATTTTTGCAGATATGCATTAAGCTGAACACTTTGGAAGAAATGAAGAAAAAAAGAGGTGCAAAACTAGAAAAAAGGCCAAAGAAGAAGAAATGAGCTAAAGCCCATTATACATGTGAGCACGTAGCCCACAATGAAGAAGACCTTGACGACCGTCAAGGAGGCGTGCCGAACATCACGCGCCAAGAAAGACCAAGTGACTATCGTCACTTGAATGTGACGAACGTCACAAGCCACTTACTCCACTTTCTTCTCATCCAACGGACAGAAACGCGTTCAAGGGTTAATCCAGCGACTACCTACATTTTCTCACCCACTCAGTCAAAGTACCAAGGAACGTGACAGATTAATGGCCCTATTATTTCTCAAAGAAGGAAGTAAATTGTTCCGACACTTTCGAGAGCAACTGATCACGCAAAACTTATAAATAGAGCCTTAGACCACAATAGAAAGAGTTCTTATTTTTGGGCAGAAACTTTGGAGATTTTATATTTACTTTGAGCGAATATTCCTTTCAGCATTGTTTTATTTCCCAGCTATTTCTATATTCCTTTCCATCATTATTTTCTTCAACATTGTTTTATTTCTCAGCTATTTCTATATTCCTTTCCAGCATTATTTTCTTCTGTACGGTTAAATATATTCTCCGATCGAAGCAAAGCCTACAATTTGTGCAGGAGTGCTTCTGTCTTCAGAGTTATTACTAGGTTTATGTTTACAAATTCTTATTGCTTTTTGATAAATATAATTATGTTTATTTTTGTTTGTCCCTTAAATTATTCTGCGATTTGGTTTAATATTATGTTAGGCTAGAAATCCTATACCGGTATGTAAAGTCACTCAACCAAGGGAACGAGTAACTTAGTTGGGATTATTTTTACTACGAAACTTTCTTTTCCGGCCTAAGTTACTATTTTTCAATCATTAAATTGTTTTGTTACGGAAGTAAAAAACAGATAGAGGTTAGAGTCAACAAAGCAGAAGTTTGAGATCTTTTAACTGGACAGTAGTAATTAGGCATTGGCTTAAAATACAGTGGAAGCACTTTAAAGTTAATTAAGATTTTATTTAGTTTTCAAAAAGTGTTTTTAACTCCTGTGGGATGGCGGAAGCGTACGTTAGGACTTAACTACATAGCCTAGATCAACAAAACGACAGTGTGAGACGAGGGTTTTTAAACTAAATAAGTTTTACTGAAAGCTGTTTTGAAAATATAAAGACGCCCAACAGGTCGCTAGTTCCCGAGGTACGACTATTGCATACTGGTAATTAAGCTCATTGATTATTAAAAATCCAACTTAATTTAGTATTTAGTTTTCCCTACAACCCAATCAAATATTCATTAGCTTTAGATTTGCAAAGTAACGATAGAAGATGGTAGATCGATTCATCAGTCTCTGTGGTTCGATATCTTTTAAAACTACACGATAAGACTGTGCACTTGCAGTCCGAATCATTGGATACATAAGTACAATCCCGATCACCTATAAACCAAGAAAATAATCATGATACTCCCGTTCCATTACCCACCAGAAAATCATCTAGACCCTCTCATCCTCCTCAATATCTAAAGGATTATCATTGCTATTCTACCACTTCTAACCATATATCAAATGTGCTTTATCCCCTGTCACCTGTCCTTACCTATGACCATTGCTCCCTTTACTATAAACACTTATGTTGCTCCGTCTCCTTTAATTCTGAACCAAAAACATTTAATCAAGCTATTAAGATGGATTGTTGGAAGCATGCTATGGATGTTGAAATACTTACTCGTGAAGAAAACCAAACATGAAGTGTGGTTGATCTTCCACCAGGAAAAGTTCCCATTGGGTGTAGGTGGGTTTACAAAATAAAGTATAAAGAACATTGTTCAATTGAGAGGTATAAGGCTAGGTTGGTAGATAAAGGTTACACACAAATGAAGGACATTGACTATTTTAATACTTTTTCACCAGTAGCCAAAATCACAACTGTGAGAGTTCTTCTAACTATTGTTGCTATAAAAGGCTGGTATGTTGAACAATTAGATGTCAACAATGCTTTTCTGCATGGTAACTTACATGAAGAAGTCTATATGACTCCTCCCTCTGGCATTTCTTCTTCTAATCCTTCTCAGGTATGTAGACTACAGAAATCCCTATATGGACTTAAACATGCAAGCATGCAATGGTATTCCAAACTCTCATCCTTTTTAATCTCTTTAGGCTACTCCCAATCTCAGGCTGATCATTCTTTATATGTGAAGTCTCACAAATATTGCTTTACTAACATACTGGTTTATGTGGATGACATAGTTATAGCTGGCAACTCCATGTTTGAAATCCATGATGTTAAAACCCTTATGGACCAAAAATTTAGAATTAAAGATCTTGGTCAGCTCAGATTCTTTTTAGGGTTTGAGATAACTAGGTCAACTAAAGGTATCTTCATGAACCAAAGAAAATATACCTTGAGCTCTTAGAAGATACATGCTTCCTTGCAACAAAGCCTTCCTCCATTCCTTTTGACCATAATCTCAAACCTTCCCCTACAGATGGTGAACTCTTGGTTGATCCTACAATATATAGGCGATTAATTGGCATATTGATCTATTTAACTAATACAAGGTCAAACATCTCTTTTGCAGTCCAACATCTCAGCCAATATGTTTCCAAGCCTCTTGCATCTCACTATCTGGTTGCAACTAAAGTGTTAAGATTTTTAAAATCTTCTCCAGCTAAAGGTATACTATTCTCAGTTTCAAGCTCTCTTAAATAATGTGCTTTTGCTGATTCTGATTGGGCTAGATGCCCCACCACTAAAAAATCCATTACTGGTTTATGTGTCATTCTTGAATCATCTCTTTTATGCTGGAAGTCCAAGAAACAAAACACTGTTTCTAGATAATCTACTGAAGCTGAATATATGGCTCTAGCTTCTCTTACATGTGAAATTCAGTGGCTGTAATATTTATTCAAAGATCTCCCGATTAATTTGTCTCAACCTGCTTCTGTGTATTGTGATAGCAAGTTTGCTATCTATCTTGCTCATAATCTTGCCTTTCATGAAAGAAGTAAACATATTGAATTGGATTGCCATGTGGTTCGAGAGAAAATTAATTCTAGACTGATACACTTGCTTCTTGTCTCCATTAAAGCTCAGTTAATTAGCAGATGCCTTTACAAAACCACTCTATTCTCCAGCTTTTTCATCCATTATGTCTAAGTTGGGACTCTACGGTCTCCACAATCCCACTTGAGAGGGCATATTAACATACACTTGTATATAATTTATTATTTTCTCTTTTTACTTTGTACAAATAATTATATAGATAAGTGTTGCCTTGCTGAACAGTTGTGTTAGGTCATTCTATCTTTGTATATATACTTTTATCTGATATTGAGTAGTTAAGAAAACTGTAACAGAATTTTTCATTCTTCGTCTTCCTCATGAAGCTTTCTTTACAATGCTTGTGTATTTTCTGTTATTTTATTACAAGATTTCGGCCATTATCAACGCTTATATAACACCAAAAGCAATATTTATGAATCAGAAGTAAAAACAACACAAACCTTTTATGTTTGTTATTTTATTAGTAAAAAGCATCATAAACTTATAATTTTTACTAATTCAAACAACAACAATGCTAAGTTGACACAAAATTGTGACACTACACCGTATAAAATACAGTGTTTTAGTTTTTTTAAATATTTTATTGGCATCTCAAAATTTATGCTTGTACATAATTATATACCACCGTCACATAATATGATACGGTGTAAGATTCTAATGTAAGTTTTAGTGTCATAATAGCATTACTCTTCAAATAATACTAATGATTATCAAAATTCAAATTCAAGAACAATGTTAAGCTCTTATCACTAAACCAACTTAGTATAACTCAAAGACATGAATAATGATTAGATACATAAGCCTAACATCATATTCATCTCAAAAAGGTGATGATGACATAAGACCAAACCAAATATTGCACTCCTTAATTTCCCAAAGAATTCCATTATAACTGTTAAAGAATAAGTTATCACAGTAATATTAATTTGAGAAATGAAAATATACAAATCAGCAACAGATAGTATTTGCACTACCATGTGTTACAAACTGGTATTGCATCGATTCTCTATAATCTTTTCAAGTTCTTGAGGCCTACAAGGAACAGCAATAGCACCCTCTTGTTGATAACCATACTCTTCCTTAGCTTCCTCCAACAGTTTCATAAAACGAGAATCTCTTAAATATTCCAACTCAAGAACAAACCTCTTTCTTTCATCACCATGCATTGCTATAACAACAAAATAACCTTCAGGCACTATCGTTGCTGTTTCTTCATCATCATCACCAATGCTTCTAACTCTCACATACACTTTACTTCTCTCCAAAAAAAGAACACCCTTTAGTACCTTCGATATCAAATTCTTTAGCCTCAACTTCTTTGTAACTTCCATGACTATAACTATTCCTCTCCTGAGACAATGACAATACTGAATTCTTTTTGAAACTTTTTCAGTTAGAAGAGTTTACTAAATTAACAAGTGTTGATTGTAGAGTTAGATAGAGTGAGTGGATTTTATAAAAGTATTGGTCAAAGGAAAAACACACGAAGTTTCTTAGACTACTATGATACTGTACATGTCATATTCATACCGTGTTTTTGCTGCGACAAATCATTTAATGCAATCTAAACGCGTCGGTTTCTTTCCTAATCTTAAACGCGGGACTTTGTTCGTAGCTAGCTAACGTACTAATAGTACCTTCTTATTTTATACCTAATTTGCTGTCTGCATCACTGTCATATATATATATATATATATATATATATATATATATATATATATATATATATATATATATATATATATATGTGGTTATCCATGCAGTAGATTGAAACTTTGATTGGAAGCCAGTTTGGCATTCATCAATTATAACTGCGTAAGTATTCTGACATATATAGAACCACTTTTGCATGTACATATGGCATTCATAATTTATATAATAGGAATGTTATGGGTTCAATTATTATGGTTTAGAGAAATTTGTTGATATATAAATGAGCATGTTGAAAAATGAAAATTATTTTTGCCGACATTTACGGGATGTACGAAACTACACGAACACCGTCAAGAAAACCTTTGATTTGTTGTGTCAACAATGACAAGGCATGCCATGTACGGATGTCCCCATTTGTTTGCAAATAAAATGGATGACTTTTGCATTTGACATTGCTTTTATTTTATTTTATTTTGACCAAAACAATGATTCCCGTACTATATATATATATATATATATATATATATATATATATATATATATATATATATATATATATATATATATATATATATATATATATATATATATATATATATATATATATATATATATATATATATATATATATATATATATATATATATATATATATATATATATATATATATATATATATATATATATATATATATATATATATATATATATATATATGATATTAGAAGAGAAAAAAGAACATGTATGGACATTATAAAATATTTTTACACTGTCGATTAATGAGAAACATATATCTAATTTACTCCAAAATAAATTGTGTTTTGCCACGTGAATCCCACGTCGCTAACACCAAAATCACGTCACAATGGAAAACATGTCACAACGTTGCCACGTGAAATTCACGCCGCAACAAACTTTATAAGATCAAAGAAATTCAAAGCAGAGCAGAGGTCAGAGCAGATTTTATATTTAATTTTATGTTGTGTGTTGCGGCGTATTTTTCATGTCACTAATTAGTGACGTGGAAAACACGTCACAACTTATTTAAAAAATAATAATTTATTTTCTGTTTTAAATATATTAATTCTGATATAATAATTAATATTATTTTCTGTTTCATTAAATTTATAAATTAAATATTATAATTTATTTATTAAATACAATATTATAAATCAAATTATCAAAAATAAAACTCAATATATCAAAATGTATAAATTAATATACTTAATGTTATAAATTTAATAAACTAAAATTTAAATTTAATATTTTAAAATATACAATATGATTATAAATTTATATTACACAAATAAAAAACTAAATAGAAAATAAAAATAAAACTAAGCAGAAGGATCATTCGAGTTGTCGGAAAAGTCGCGAAGAAAGTCATCATTATTTTGGTGGTTATTATTTTGGCCACCATTGTTGGGATTTCCACCAAATGCTTGCATAATTTGTCGCATTTGCTCTTCCATATCAGTCTGCCTCTTCGCCATTGCCTCCATTTCTCTATTATGTTCACCCCTCATTGTCTCAATTTGGGCCTTCAATTCCGCCTCCATTTAGGCCTTCAATGCGGCCTCATGTTTTTCGAACTCGCGTCTAGGCAATTGTCTTACCATTTCTAACTGATCTGGTGTCAAATTTGTTTGACGTTACCCTTCTTCACCATCCGCAACTCTTTGATACAAATTTGTATAATTCTGCTAAATTATATAATTTATAACCCTAGCAGCAGTCCGACTCGGCCCGAAACTAAAACAACAATAATTGAATTAGCATAATTAAGTATATAAAGTTACATTAAAAATGGAAATGTTTACTTATAAATAAAAATCAATAAATAAGAAACTTACGAGTTCCCTTAAGGCCAAATCCAAAATCTCCCATCAATGGTATGAATCTCACTCGGATCATCATCCCCTCGAAGATCTCTCCCATCTATCTGATCATCATCCACACCAAGATCGTCATCATCCGACTCTACATGATCATCGGATGCAGGTACATGTGTGGGATGTGGGGTGCGACCAGTCTGTGTGGGTCGTGAAGAGGTGGATCCTCTAGGCTGCTGGACGGATGGGGGAATCTGTGTAGGAAGTGGGGTGCTGGATCCTCTAGGCTACTGCACGAATGAGGGTATCTGTGTGGGAAATGGAAAATATGCTGGAAGGATGAGGGCATCTGTGTCTGCTGGAATGGTAAACCAGGTCGGGCCCCAGATGGACTAATAAAACATGGACTCCCAGATGGGAACTGAAGAGGACTCTGAGAGGATAGTAATGGCGTAAATGGCATAATACTGTCCATGAACATATGATGAACCTGACTCTGCGGGGGAGGACACGTGGCTGAGTGAGGTGACTGGCATACTACTACCCTTGGACGCCTGGGCTTCCTACCACTATCACTAGGATCTTTACCCTTATTATCCTTGGGTGGCATTTTTACCTATTTATAGAAAATACAAGTTAACATATAATATATTTGAAAAGCATATTTCTCATGAATACATATTCATTAACTCATTCAAGAGAAGGTTCGTTAAGTAAAATTACAAGACACAATTCTCATGAATACATATTCATTAACTCATTCAATAGATGGTTTGTTAAGTAAAATTACAAGACACAATTCTCATTAATATAGGTTCACTATTCTAAATCGTCATGCTCGTCATCCATATCATCCTCGTCATCTCATGTGATATTTACCTCGGATCCAGAATCTTCATGATCTTCATCCTCATCAACTTGATTCCCCTCAACCATTGTATCAGACAAACTTGTAGTGTGTTAATCTGGAATCACATCATTAACTTCAACTTCATCAACTTGGTAAGTGTAGTGGTAGAAATGTGCAAGACTAAGCCATTGGATTGACTAGACTTTATACAAATCAAAATAAAAATCGCCACCACGCTTTATTGTTTCCAAAGGAATGGGAAAAGAGCGAATAACCCAAAAAGAGGGGGAAAGATTCAAGGTAAGGGGGTTGGTTATACAAAGGGAAGGTATTAGCACCCTAAACATCTACGGTACTCCGCAAGAACCTCTTTGTAAAATCTGTATATTTTGGCTATAAAAATGTGTTGTATATAAAATGGATGGTGGAGGTGAGAAAAGAAATATTTTTATGATTTTTGCATCCGCCGCGGTTGCGAACCTTTAGTGCCTACATACCACCTTTCGTGCAATAGAGGATCAGGGTACACGTAGTTCATCTAGAAAAGACTTATTTGTTGATTGTTTTTAAACAAGGAGACAAGTCGTCATTGTTAGGAGAGAAATCTTGACTAACGCCCACAAGGTGTAAGAAAGATGGACCCTGCGTCAACAAGAGTGAGGGTTTGAGAACGCCTCTAATACTCAAGTGGAAAAATCGACACCTTTATAACCATAGGGATATGAGAATGTTGCTCGACTATCAATGAATCATGTCTCACCTTAAAAAAAAGTTTTGAATGGAAAAGGTGCTTGGGCGCACAAAAGAGTTTGAATGAGTTGAAGTATTTTGTTAATTTTGAAGAAAAAAATGTCAAAGTATGATTAAGTGTATTGAAGTTTGTTTAAAGAAAATAAGTTTTAAAAGAAAAGGCACTCGACAAAGTCGAGGTTTATTATGAAAGCGGTTCGAGTTTAAAAACAAAGAAGATTTTGAAACAAGATGAGAAGATTTTGAAAATTAAAGAAGATGGGAGGAGATGAAGGGACTATCCTAAAGCATAAGGTAAAAGCTAAGGAAGAGAACCGTCTAACCAACATGAAGCCAATACTTGACATTATAAGCCAATGTAGAATTCCCATTCTTCGGATTGAAACCAAGCTAGCAAAGATACTAGACCTCTTGAGAGAACCAAACTTCAAGTGTTTTAAGTCTTCGCAAAAATTGGGCAGAGTAACGGCTGTATACGGGTGAATTCCAGATTACAAACAAAGATCGTAATCTCAATAACCTGCACACAAAACAAACGAACAACCCAATGTCTTGAGGTAAACCTCAAGAACTCCAGACAAAATATCAAATAAAGTCACAAAGTCTCCAAGATAGGCCAAGGTCTCTAATCCTAAGTCCAAGAAGTCCATCACTCCATAATGCAAAGGATAGTAACCATGTAGTCCAAGTATCATTAATGATTTTTATGGTTCATGTTGATTATTAGGTGTCTTTAAAAAGAAAGAAAAGCTCAAGTGAGCAAAATAAAAATGACATAAAAGTAAATGCTCAAGTGAGCAAAGATGAAAATAGCATGAAATGTAAAATGCTAAAAGTAAATGGTACATAAAGCATGAAAATAAAAGCGTAAAGTAAAGTTAATTGTTAGTAATTAGTGGTTAGTTGGATGACCATCTTGAAACTTGAATTTGGAACTCATTAGAGGATTGGTAGAACCAAAGCCTCCACACAACAAGTTGCATTTTCTTTTTGTCAAGTATATCATCCATTTTGGAATTCTCACAAGGCAACATGTAATGATCAACGATGTTTAAGTGATCCGCGTTGACCAATGGTGTTGTAGATCCATTAGAGGATTGGTAGAACCAAAGCCTCCACACAATGAATCTCAAGTTTATTGGATCAAAGAGATCAAATTAACATACTTCGGCTTGCAATCATAAGTTTGGGCCACGAATGATCATTTATTCGAATCGGGACAAAATTTAGCGCTATGTTAAGCAAT